AAGGCAGTAGGGATTGCTTTTCTCTTCCTTTCTTGCCCCAATTATTGTTCTTTATATCATTGAACCTTCCTGAAGTATTCCAGGTCAGAGATGCCCTGGGTTTGTGGAGAAGACCATACTGCTGAGGCTGCCTGCAAAGCCCCATCTTGCCTACCAAACTGATAACCACATGGGAGCCTCCTCCTTCTGGCTGTCACGCAAGAACTCAGAGCCCATTGCTCACTCCAGGCCTGGCAACTCCAAACACCACTTCAACCAGAAAGGCCACCTCTCTCCTCTCTTCCTGAGCTGAAACACCCCTTCCTGCAAGGCCAGTAGGGCCTGCTCCTCCAGAAGGCCTTCCCTGAGTGCCACCGCCCACACAAGCTCCACCTTCTCTGGGGGTCCATAGCCCACACAGCCTGCTCCTTTCACTCCGCCCCTCAGTTGGATCATGCCCTTGGTGGCCACTTGGCTCTTTGAGTCCGTTTCTTTGCCCAAACAACACATGCGCACTATACAGAGTACAGGGGAGTCTCCCTTCCTCCAGCCTGCCCTCACTGCCCTCTGCAGGTCTGGGCAGAGCAGTTGCTCCATAGAGATGTTTAATTGGAGGTCTGGTGTTAGGGAGCCCAATGTAGATTTCAGCTCTCTTTTCAGCGTGGTCTCAACATAACCTTGGAGTAATCCCTGCATTTTTCCCTTCTAGTTTTAAATCCCCAGCATCACCCAGTTTACACCAATCTGGCCCCCTCTGCATCCTGCCTTCTTCACTGCCTTTTCCCTTAAGGCTCCTACCCCCATCACAGATCCTCACAGGCAACTTGGATTGTTTTCTATTTTCTCCTATGTGGAACTCCTCAGGCCTGGAAGACATTTAACCATCTGTTGCCATTTGCTGTTCTGGGGCTTTTCACTGGGTATGACTTTGGTCTAACTAGACAGTGAGTTCTTTGCAGCCTTGTCCTTTCTTGGCTGCTTCCAGAGGGAAATCAGAAAGACTGGATGAATGCAGGAATGACTGAGTGGTGATGCCTCCAAGTCAAGCAGTGCAGACCCGGGATGCCGAACTGCTGGGGGTCTTCTAAATTACGTGTTCAAAAGTGTCCACCTAGGGCCCTGCAGCTCCCCTTCCTTAGAGCCCATATGAATACAGTATTGACACCACTCCCCGAGTCAGCTTAGCCACTGGTATCTATAAACTACATCTTAAGTACCTACTGTGTGCCCACCACTACCAGAAGGGGTTGCAGAGGAGGAGGAGAGACCAGATTACTGGGTCCTTGCCCTCCATGAGTTCACAATTGAGGTGGAAAGAGAAGATTCACAGGCAAGAGAGACAAAGCAGGCCTGAGGTTGTGTGGCCATGGCCAGGGCTGCTGGTTCAGTGGGTGTCAGAGAGAAGAGAGTGACCAGTGACAAGTGGCTCAGCTGAAGGGAAGCTGAGCCCAAAGAGGGCTCCCTCCCCCATTTGAGGAACAAGAGAAGCAAAGGGAAGCGAAGGAGCAGGAGGTATTGGCAAGGCCTGAGTAAGTAGCCCACCTGAACCTAATCCCCACAAGACTTTCTAACACCCCCAAAGATGAATCAGCAGCAAACTGTAAACACCAAGCCCAGAGAGAAAACGAGAAGCAATTGTTCCCAGCCCTACTTCCATTTGCCAGCATTCTCCCTCTCTCTCAGTGGATGAAATAATTGTGGCTATGAAGTGGCACTTGGAGGGAAGTTTTAAATCTGCTTAAATGTCACAGTGAGTAATACTTTGCCCCATCTTTCTCTAATTACATTTCTCTTTGATGATCTAAGGTTAAAAAAAAATTTTAACTCAAATGTTCCTGGAATATCAAGGGTGAGGATACCAAAGAGCCAACCTAATCATGTTCCATACTATTTTCTCAGGCGTCCTGCTCTTTTATTGCATTAGTCTGAGAAACCTGTCTGTGTTATTGTATCCCCAACACTCTGCTATAGAGGAGAGGTAGGAGCCTAAAAGATGCAGCTCTGCACCTTTAAGAGATTGATGCCTCAACAGAAGCTGCTTCTGCTGCTGTTTACACTGGGTAGCTCAGTTAAACAGGACTTAGTGTCCTGGGGCAGGAGCTGGGAGGGAGGACATTTCACCATATACTGCCAGAAAGATGAGAGGTGAGGGCTGTGCCACCTGCTAAGGGGAGATAACCCAAATCCAAAATAAGCCATCATCGGGTGGGAGGGAGGGGAGGGTGGGGATCTCTAAGGAAGAAGGAATTCTCCACAGCTTTGAGGCCACCGGTGGAGAGACACCGGGAGGGGCCGTGGTGCACAGGGCAGAGGAGCAGTCCTGGAGGGAAGTGACACTGCACAGAATGAAGGAGTCTTCATAGCATCTGAAACAGCCAGTGCCCCCTTTCATTAACAAGCCCACTCCCCGGCTCACTCCTGCCCAATGACTGCTTTTATTTATGTATTGACTAGTATTAGTAACATGAATAATTAACCCCCTGTGAATAATCTACTTGGACCTAGGGGTGTCTTGGGTGGTGGCAGGAAGAGGACGGTGAACTTTAGTGACTCTCCCCTGAGCAGTTCCCTTCTTTTCCAGCTGCCCCTAGCTGGCCCCTTTCCCTTTCCGATGTCCGGGTTTTGCTTTCAGGGGTTGAAGGGCAAGGAGAGAAAATAGACCTCGAGCAGGAATTTACTCTCCTAAACTCCCCTGTGATGGCAGAAAATACACGCCACTCAGGTGTAGGATCCTGGGTGCCATGCACCAGCACCACAGGATGATGTTGGAGGAGATATCTTGGACAGTTAATAGCCTCTGCTGATGTGTCCTAGGGGACAGGAAGGAGGAGGTCTCAACCTGGTAGGGACACACACACTTATGCAGTGTGGATACACGCAGGGTCCGTGCACAGACCCATGCTGCATCCACACAAGCAGGCACACACGGCCAAACCACATACACACAAACTCTCCAAGTGCTTAGCAGGGACATGCCCCCCTTATGAGGGCACTTCAAAGGCACACCAAATAAACAACCACCACATGGCAGAGGCTCTATATGTGAGTTTCTGTTCGAGTCCATCTACTGGGTCGATTCTTAGACCAGCATATAACACCGGATAACGTAAGCCCGGGAAACCAAGTGACGAATTAACTATACTTACACCCGATTCCAGCAAGCAAAGGCAGGAGAAGCTAAAATGAAAGGATGAAGTTCCACAGTTCTAAAAATCATACTTGCTCTTTGGTTTGGCCCCGGGATCCTCAGAGAGAGGTGTCCTGGACGGACTCGGGGCCTGGGGCTGCGAACCTCGGGCCTCCGGGCCTCCTCCGGCGCTGGAGAGCTCGTATTGTGCTTGTAGCAAATGGGGTTGGCCTGAGTTTTCAGGCAGCTGGGGTCTCATTTCTTTAATTAAAATTGCAGACAAATCCTCTAGTAACGTAATGTAATCCGAGGGCAAAAAAAGAGAAACCCTGAAACCCCAAAGTGGCCAGTCGAGGGCCGGCAGGGGTTAGGCCAGCCGCTCCGCCCCGCCGCCCCAGCTCCCAGCCCCGCAGCCCGCGGGGGAGCGGGCGCGTTAATTTGCCAGGCTTCTGAAGCGAAGAGGCTGCCCTGAAGAAGCAAACGTGAGAGAGGACGGGGTGCAGGTAAATATCATTAACGTGAAAATCTGCTACCCCGGCCAAGTTCACCACCAGTATTCACCCCCAGAGGCGGGGCTGCTCGGACCCTGCTCGCGGCTCCGCGCCTGCCACTCCCTCTCCCGCGCAGCCGAGGTGCCAACCCCAGCGGGCCTGGCGGGGAGTCCGGCGGGGTCCGGACCGGGCGGCTGGACCCCCGGTCCCCACGGCAGGAGCCACTTCGCCTTGCACCTCGGGAGCTGTAGGTGCCTAAAACGAAACCCGCAGGGGCAGCGCACGCCGCGCGAGTCCCGGTGCGGCGGCAACCCAGATAGCGATTCGGGGGCTTTATTCTTTTGATGGTGATTAAAAAATATATATTCTATTTGAACCCGTAAAGCAGACGAGGGCAAATCAAGCCGTCCCCCGCGCCGGCTCACCGGCCACCGCGCCCAGCGCCTTCCTCCCCCTCCGGCGGGCGAGCGGGCAGGGGAGCCCGACTCCTACCTTCCTCCCGCCAGCCGCAGGCGGACCGGCCGCGCTCTCCGGGGCGGGGGAGGCCGCCCGGGACGGGGACCCCCACCTTCCGCCTTCGGAGGCGGGCTGGGGTGGGGGTCGGACCCCGAGTCTCTACTCCCCGTCCCTCGGCCCCCCGGCGCGGCCCGACCGCTCCCAGCCCCATCCTGGCAGGTGGCTCGGGTGGCGGTAGGTGCCGGGCGGGAGGAAGATGTGGGGCTGCTCTGTCAGGTTGGGGGTGCGAGGAGGGAAAAAAAACAGAGAAAGAGACACACAGAGAGACAGGGAGAGAGCGCGCGCGAGAGAGCTCTTGTCTATAGATTTATCCACATAATATACATTTATGTAGCTTTTTTTCTCTCGACACTGATGAATGCGCGCTCGGATTCCCGGCCGGACTCCCTCCAAGCCGGCTCGCTTTTCTAGTCTAAATAAATAAATAAATGAAGCCAGATGGAAGAAAAAAGCGCCCATTCCACCTCCGCCGCCGCCCCGCCCGCCATCCCTGCCTTTGCTTCGCCCGCCTGGCGCCCTAATAGAGCATAGCTTGGTGGATAAAGCCCCCCTACATACCCACAAGAAAATAAAAATCACTGTTTTTTAAATACAAAAAGTTACACCTGCTGCTATTACAAAAAGAACCCCCAAAAGGCAAAGAGAGGAGGCCGGCTGCCCGGCTCCTCACAGACACCCGCTCCCCGCGGCCGCCGGGCCCGGAATCTCAGCGCCTCCCGAAGAGCCATGCGCCTGGCGCTATTTATAGCCGGGGGCCGTCTCGGACTGTACCACCGCCACGGCGCGGGGCCGCCGACGGGGGAGGCGCGGTGGGGCCGGCGCCGCCCCACGCCGCCCTGCCCCCGGCCGCCGCCCGCCGCGGCGCGAGCCCCCACAGCGCGCCCATTCCCGGCCCCCCGCGCCCTCCTCCGCGCGCGCACACTCGCCGCCCCCACCCCTGGTCTGGCTGGGAACTTGAACCGGTCCAGCCTGTTTAAACGGAAAGGACAGAGATCCTGTCTGTTCAATGTAAAAAAAAAAAAAAAGAAAAAAAAAGAAAAAAAGAAAAAAAAATCAGATCAGACCGAGGGAGAGAGGAGAGAGAGAGGGAGAGAGAGGGAGAGAGAGAGGAGAGAGAGGGAGGGAGGGAGAGAGAGAGGGGGGAGAGCGGAGAGAGAGCGCGAGCGCGAGCGAGCGAGAGAAGAGGAGAAAGAGAGAGAGCAGAGAGCGAGCGGAGAGCGAGGTGTAGAGAAACCGAGGGGGAGAGAACCCGAGTGTGTGTATGCGTGTGCGTGTGTGAGCGCGAGCGAGCGAGCGAGAGGAGCGAGAGAGTGCGAGCGAGAAAGAATAAAAGGAAAGAAGATTTTCTCTATGTATATAAAGATGGCCACGTTAGCAAACGGACAGGCTGACAACGCAAGCCTCAGTACCAACGGGCTCGGCAGCAGCCCGGGCAGTGCCGGGCACATGAACGGATTAAGCCACAGCCCGGGGAACCCGTCGACCATTCCCATGAAGGACCACGATGCCATCAAGCTGTTCATTGGGCAGATCCCCCGCAACCTGGATGAGAAGGACCTCAAGCCCCTCTTCGAGGAGTTTGGCAAAATCTACGAGCTTACGGTTCTGAAGGACAGGTTCACAGGCATGCACAAAGGTGAGTGCACCTTTCCCTCCCAACTTTGCCGGGGAGCAGGAGCGGGCGGGCCGGCCGACCGGCCGGCCGGCGACTGACGAGCGGCTGACTGAGCGAGAGGAAGCCTCGGGCGGGCGCCGTGGAGGGAGGCGCTCGGGCAGCGGAGACCAGAGCTGGGGTGCGTGGGGAGCTGCTCGCTGGGGCAAGGCTGGGTTTTGGGCGAGGTGCTGATAGGAACGATGCCATGGAGAGAGCAGCGGGCGCCGATGAAGAGAAAGAGAGAGGGGATCGAGGAGACGGGGCTTGGGTTTTTGGGTACAGCGACTTGAAAGATTGGGATGGGGAAGGCTGCACCGGTCGAGCCCAGGACGCTGAGCGGACGGACTCTCCGGCTCCTGGCCGGCCGGGGACCGAGGGTGCTGTCCATCGCCGTGGTGCTGAAATACTAAAGGAGATGGTCTCCTCATCCTTTGCTCCGGGCCAGAGTAGCAGGAGCGCAGCCGTCTAAAAGGGAGAGAGGTGACAAATTCAAAGAAATATTTTTATTTAAATGTAACAGTAAACTCTCCCTGTCGAGCTGTGTGCCTCAATAATCTGATTGTGGTGTGAATGGTGGTGTGTGTTGGGGGTTGGGGGGGTGGATGTTTGAAGGAACCAGTGATAAAACCTAAGGCAAGAATTAGCAAGGAACCAGCCATCCCCTGGGTGGAGTGGAGGTCTGGCAAGCCTGGATAGTCCCCTTCCCAGGAAAGCGGAGCTTTGGGAAAAAAAATATGTGTGTGCGAGATTTGCATTTTGAAAGGTGTACCCTAATTTATCCCAAACTCACCATGCAGAGAGCTTTATAGTACATTATTTTTCCCTTGAAGCGATCATTGACAGTGAGTGCTTGGGGGAGGGGGAGAGAGAATAATCAAAGAATTAAAACCCAGCAACTTTTTAGGAAAGTGGTCATGGGAATTGTCTGCAGCCTGCCGTTTTCTCCTTGTTTTATTATCTTTAAAGCAGAGCCCCAAACGTGTTCAGTTGTAGAATGTGTGTGGGTGGCTGGTGGGTGACGAAATTAGCCCAGTGCTCCGCTTCCTAACAGTAATATATAGGATGTGCAGCGGGGATGAATCGGTGCTGGAGCTATGTGGGCAAGTTAAATGCTTTCTGAGAGAGATTGATCGCCAGGCAGGGAAGGAGCACGGGGCTAAGGAAGTTGTAGGGGATGTGTATGGATGTTCCGTTTTTAATAAACAGTAGTGTGGAGAGCCGCCGAAGATGCTGTTACAGCTGGTGGTTTTAAAGATGAAAACACACACGCACACCCACCCCCACATAGAGAGCAGCCTCATCCTTGGCCACAAATGGGCTATGGACACAGCTGATCCTCCAGCACATTAGGTGCAGAGCGCGGAGCTGTCTGGCTCTCTAAGCAGCAGCGATTTTCACTATCACAACCACCCTCTTTCTTCAGCCCTCCCTTCGTTCGAATACTAAACAGAGCTCCAAACTCTTCATAGTTGGAGTCCCAGAGAGCAGTTTTTATTGGCTTTAGCATCTTCCAGCTTGCCTGCTGAGGAGTAAATCTTAAAGTTAATGGCATGTTGAGTAACACGAAAACACAGCAGAATGGAAATATACTGGGTTTGTTGGGGTGGGGTGAGGGTGGGGGCTGTAATGGAGAGAGAAACCAACCTTTATCCAATATGGAGAAAATGTCTGTCTGTTCAAAAGGGAGATTGGAAAGGTGGAATGAGGAGGCAGTCTTCAAAACGATATTCGAAGAAAAGAAGAAAACACTTTCTTTTCCCTCCCTCCCTCTCAAGTCAGCCTTATCTTTGTAGCTTTTTCCGCTTCCAATCAAGCTTCCTAGAAGCTAATCAAGGTTTGTATCAAACCTTTGTTATTCGGAATGTCCTCGTTTTAAGAAATAGTAATAACAAAAATTTTGAAAGCATAGGTAGGGAAACCTTTTGCCCATCTTAATGATCAGTTTTTGTGGTGATTTAGGATTTTAAAGTTAAAAAAAATCAGAACCCACTAGAGGCAAAAGACAGTTGTGAGGAGCTGGGCTTCATATGGCATCTGGATTAAAGCACTTTACTTGCTTCTTCATTTCCAATGAAGATAAACTTTAACAGTATTCCTTGGTTTCTTTTCTACAATCCCTGATATCATCACTTCATTTCTGATGTAATTTGGACTCTCTCATATAATAGCAAAGAAGTAGAATTTTCATCATTTGCATTAGGGAGATAGAGAAGGTTATCATTATAATATATATAATACATATATTACATATATTTTAGATAGATAGATAGATAGATAGATAGATAGATAGATAGATAGATATCTGGCCAGAATTCCTAGGACAAACAAAACTTCATTTTCTAAATAATTTCTCCCCTAAACTGTCTCAGTCAGTGGCAGGCAGGCCCAGTGGCTCCGGCATACTGGGTTCCTCGTTGTCGCAGCTCACCCTTCGGAGCCTGAGCATATAATTTTCTCAGTGAAACTTCCTACCTCTCCATCCTTCTGATTTTTATAATTGAGGTTGGGCCACAATGTCCCTAACAGTGCTTGCAAGCTCTCAGAGAGCTGAATAAATGAGACCGTTTCCGAGGTCTGGTTTATTCAGTCCTAGAAGAGTTTAAACTCCTTCTTCATTGATGCAGCCTGATTTATTAGCTAATCCTGATAAAATAAGCCTCCGGCCACCTTAAAAAATTACTCGCTTGCCATTGGTGATTAATTACTGTTAAGTTGAAAAGCATGATGAGGCTTGAGGAAGGAGGGTTGCATTTGGTTTCTAGATTTCCCCATCTCTAAATTGACAACATAAGGTTAGGGATAGAATCATGCCTTTGTTAAGCCTGGTTTCAGGGCATATTTGTGGCTCTTGCTCTCCCCTTCTTTAATTTCTAACTTCTAATGAATCATATGGGACAAAATTGAGAGAGACAGGACACTGGCCTCCAGTTTGGATGTCATGTTTATGTTATTGGCAAAAAAAAAGAAAAAGAAAAAGGAAGACAGAAGGAAAAGAAAAAGAAGTAAAAACTAAATTAAACACATGAGATTTCAGGTGGGTCTCCATTTGTTGGCCACCTGCCATTTCAGATATCTAAAGAAGGAAGGAGTTCTAAGGGTTAATGGAATACCTGCCATGCGTAGAGTGCACCTTAAAAGGCAATTACTCCAGTCAAATTGGGAGTCTGTGGAGGAGGGAGTGGGTGGGTGTTGTGGAGCAAACCCAGCCATATCAGAGAAAGGCTGTTGGGCTGGGGAGGCAGCAAAGAGCAGCTGTGGACTGGGGTGATTACTATAAAGGTAAATTTACCCCCTGGAGGCCAGAAAGCAATTGGAGAGAGGGGTATCTGGGTGCTACGCAAAGAGAGAAAGGAAGAAAAAAGCCCAGAATTAAAATTCAAAAAAACAACACCCAAGGAAGAAAACCGAGTTTAGTGCAAACTCTCCGGAACAACTCAGAGTCTTCTTTTCTCCCTCATTAGAGCACTTTGGGAAAGATTGTTTTTCCAGGCTCCAAAGAGAAAGACATTGTACTACTGATTAAAGAGAAAAGAGACGAATTCCTCGGGTAGCAGCAGAAGTGAGCTGAGGGCCAATTTTACCCCTTCTTGTAAAATTTTTCTCCTCTGGAGAAGGGAACAGGTCACCCAGTAGTCCAATTCTTCCTTTCTCTCATTTTTAATTTATTTCTGTTTTCTTCTTTTCATTTCCTGTAGAACAAAAAGAGGCAGTGACTGAAGACACATATGTGCACACATACCCATACTTGTTAACACTCACTTACACAGTGGATCACACATGGAGAAATCAGCAATCCATTCATAACTTTGGTCCTATCTAGCTGGATAGGAGGCAGCAAAGACTGAGTTACTGGGAGATATAAAGACTAGTGCTCTCTGGATAGCCATATTATAATGCATTATCTTTGAAGTCATTTAAGTCCAATTTAAGTGGTATTTAGTATAATATTTATGAATTAATGTAATCTAAACATAGGACTGTCCCCAAAGGTTTAAACAGCCTTTACTACTGATGTGTGCTTGTTCCCAGAGCCTGCGATGCATTTTAATCTAAACAGCCAAGTCCACATCATAGTCCTTCTTGTTATCCAGTCAGAACAGATCTGTGCCTGGGTAAGCACTCTGCTTTGAGATTTTCTCCGTTGCATGGAGGAAAATATACTCTACTGGCAGCCTGGGGGGCTCTCAGCCCAGAAGCCACAACTGCAGGGATTTCAGCCCCTCATACTTCCACACTATATCCAGAAGGAGGGTGGGGACAGAGTAATAGAATCTTCTGTGGATTTAGCTCCAGAGAGTGTATCATTTTAAAATACACTCACCACTACATGCACAATCTTCTATTTCAACTACACCTGAATAGGAAATGCCTAAAGCCCCTTGATTTGGGGTTTAGCTGTGAGAAAGAGGAAGGACGGGGGTATGAATATGTTTTGGGGATTTGTGACCATCTTCATAAAATTATGTCTTGTATTTGTGTTTAAGATACAATAATTCTCAGAACACTGAATTTCCACCGCTTGACTTTACCCAAGATGGCTCGTTGTCTTGTGGGGTTTTGGGGATTTTTTTTCTGCTGTAGATAGGTGATTTAAAACTGTGAAGCTCTATGTGATTTCCATTTTCAAATGAGTCTAAGAGACAGTGCAGCTGAAGTATTAGCATGGGCATGAGCTCAATTAAGATGAACTTTTTAAAAATACTTTGAAAAATAAAAATTCAGTTCTGTCCAGGAGAAAAGGCTGACAGAATGGCTGGGTACACACCTATAGCTTTTAAAAGAAAGATTTGCCTTGTCAGAGATACGGAAAACTGAATAGCCATAATCAGAAAACAAGAAAAGCATTTTTTAAAAAACAAGTTTCACCAAAGAAAATGATCAATAGCAATCATTACAAACGTAAAGCATATCAAAGCAACAATCACCATTAAAACAAACTCCAAAATCCAGATGTTGATAAGTGTCCTACTTAAGAGCAAAGAAAAAATATTGGAAAATGATTAGCTTATTTAAGAGACTGATGGTTATTTGCTGCTTATGCATAATTTCATTTGTCTTTTAAACAGACTTCCTTGGAATCAACAAACACAGAGATAAATTAATATGCACATATGCACGTATATGTTTCCATGTGCAAGCATGACTAAGCACATCCCACACATATGGAAACCAGGGCTGGCCTAGATTTCAGTGCAATTCAACAGGGAGATGTTAGCAACCTCCCTCCCATCCCCAAGCACACACAGTTTTAATGGGAATTCTAGATTGGGTTGAAATAAGCCCCTTGGTATACTTTCACTCCCTTCATCACCTGCTCCAATTGGCTTGATGTTTGTGGCCTCTCAAACACAACAAAATAAAATCTTTTATTGAATGAAATCATAGCCGTAAAACAACGCAAAGGAAAACAATGACAAAACTGCATGCCATTGCTATGCCCCCTACACACTCATGTAGTAAAGTTCTTAGAGTTCTATCAGGGAGCTCATGTCCCAGGGTATTCCCACTGCCCAGTGATCTTGCCACACTCCAGCAACTTGATCATGGCCATTATCATCACTAATATTAGCATCTTCCTCCTCATTATTACAGCGTCTATATCAGGAGGGAAGAGGGGCTTCTGAGTGAGGCCTTGGAAGATATCCAAGATACCACCTTTTAGCTTGAGAAAAGAGCTGGTCTCAACGTTGCCTCTGTCCAGGGCTCACACCTTCCATGTCATCAGGAGAGGGTCAGTTTCTAAACTGACCCAGGAGGTATCTCACCTAAAGAGAATCTGGGATAAGTAGGCTCTAGAGGACAGAAATGCAACAGAGAATAAGGCCCAAGGTTGCAGGTAGGGAAGAAAAAGTGAAAGTTGTAGGGTCAAAATGCCATCTAGAAGCTGGGAGTGCCCGTTTACAGTGGCTGAAACTGCAGCAGCTCTTGAACTTGGTGGGGAAATCCCATGTGACATGCAGAGAGAAGAGCTAAAGGGTGTGAAAACCTATGTGTCTGTGGGTAGGAGGAGGGAAGATGCTGCAGCCTGTGTGGGTGTTGGAGTGAGCATGTGTGTGTGGATACACACACACAGAGAAGAGATGACAGATGCAAGTGGTGTGGAGATGATGTTAGGGACAGTTTAATCTTGCAAGGCTATATGCAGGATCAGGGAGAAGGGTGATGGAGAAAAGGGGAAAATCTGGAAAAAATGACGCTGTCCTCATCATTACATACATGATCCACCTCAGAACTCCTGGCTTGGATTTGTCAATGATTCAAGTCCCAGTGTGAAGGTGTATTTTTTGTTTTATCTGTCGACATTCCCATCCAGAAGTCCTGGTTTGGAGGAGGGTTCCATCCTCATTTCCCACCCATCACCCTTTCAAGGCTAGCCTGCTTCTGCTCACCCACTGACTCATTTTAGCAATGACCTTCCATCTGGAATCTGAGTGGCCTGCCGCAGCTAATTCCCTTCACCCACTGCATTTCCCACCTTATTCACTGCCCCTTGGTATTCCAGGCTACTTTCCTTTTATAGTGTACACACACACACACACACACACACACACACACACACAACCTGACCAGCTCAGTCAAGTCAGGCCCTCCAAGCAGAATACTGCATTTTACCTAAATCCAAGCAGGGCGTGGCAGGGAGCCGGTTGCCCTCCTTTTGGGCTCTCTATAACAAGAGCAGAAAATCCGCTCCTTTTACCTCTTCCTTTCCTGCAGGCCTGTAGATACACAGCCTCTCCAAGAATTGCAGAAAGCATCCAGTCCTACCCAAACAGCCTAGGGGAGTAGAACAGAGCACCCTCCCACCCCCCGCAATTTCACTGAAGCCCTTTCATCATCTTTCCTCTCCTTTTCTGTCTTCTCTGCCATTTAAGATATCTACCCAAACCCCAAAGTGGGGCCTGAAGGAGATAAGTGTTCCATTTGGCAACATAAGAGAAGTTAAAGGTACCAGAACAGACACACACACACACACACACACACACAAAAACAGTTACACGGGTAGAAAAAGCAGCAGAGGAATTTCCAGTGTTGATGTACTTGCCCTAAGAGCTTCCTCCATCTCCACCCATCAAGTTCCCCACAGCCCTAGGTGTGTATAAAGCCCAAGCCGCAGCCCTACCCACCGGAACAAAGAAGGAAGTCAGGTAGGAAGCCCAAGGTGATTGCCTTGATTTTTGAGTCCTCAAAAGTAGAAGGGGAATTAGTAGGGCATGGTGGCGCAAGTCTGTAGTCCCAGCTACTCAGGAGGCTGAGATGGGAGGATTGCTTGAGACTGGGTGGAGGCTGCAGTGAGTGGAGATCGCACCACTGCACTCCAGCCTGAGCAACAGAGTGAGACCCCGTCTCAAAGAAAAAAAAAAAAAAAGTAAAAGGGGATGTTTTCAGGACCATCCATTTATAGGGTTTCTCCCCTTCTACTTGTCCACATTTGGTTTCTCTTATTCTTCCTTGTATCTCTCCTCTAGCGTGAGCTGATTGAGAATTTCAAACAGAGTGATTCCCCGCAGCTCAGCTCAGGAACAAATCCTATGTGGCCATCTGCAAGATGGAAATAAATGGGTGCCCTCATGGAGACAGACATAGTCCTGCTTCTGTGGGGACAGAACAGCCAAAAATATTGATTAAACTCAGGAAAAAAATTGATAATGAACTGGCCTCCAACAAGAGCTTAATTGACAGAGACTTCCGAAGGCCAGCTCTGGACAACGCATAAACTGACCGCAATGTTACTTTATTGCAATACACTCTGCTTCAATTAATTATCACCTTTGTTAAGAGTGGCTACAGATCAAAGGTTTCTAGATACTTAACACATCTTTCGAACAAAGCCCCGATGTATTAGGCTATTCCACAGCTGGCCAGCAACTCAAGCTAGTTTCCCATTTTCTTCCCTGTTAGCTGTAGGCTTCCTCCTCTTTGTTAAAGACAAACACTCCTTTCTGCACAGCCACTGTGTCCAAGGACCAGGATTGTGAGAACTGTTGTCCTCCGAGGGCAGGGTGCTGCAGTTCAGCAGCTCTTCCTAAAATTACACAACTTGGTTCACCCTTGAATCGATCTGACTGAAATGGGGAGTATCAGCAGAAGAAAAAGGAGTTTCTAGAAACACAAAAGGGGTGTGTGTGTGCATGCGCATATGCACGTGCACAAGCGACTATGTGCACATCCACATAAATATTATGGGATCAATACATTTCACATCCGCTGCCCACACCTCTTAACTTCTCCCTCCCATCTCTTGAGCACCTGTGCTACTGTCATATTTCACACTGAGAAATGCTCGCAGCTGAAGCGGGCATAGATGATGCTGTATTGAACTAAGTCATTGTTTGGATTCAGTTGTGGAGTCTTGGTGCCCACTGAAGAATGGTCCTTGCCCGGAGTAGTTAGTGCCTAAAGAAGCCACTTCTTAAGATGTGACAGGAACCTCACTCTCTAGAGTCCCCAAGACCTACAAACTGACAGGTGACTTACTTGAAAGCAACCCTTGGAGTCGTTCTAGGCAGATTTGAATGCCATACGTGGCTGTTTGTTCATTATTCTAATTTAATGATGCAGTCACACCTAATTAATCCATGTCTGGTTTATTCATACACTATGTCTGAGGATCCAAAAGATCTCTCCAGCTAGCCAGTTTCCCTTTACAGGGACAAGCAAGGGGGCATCCCTGACAAGTGAGGCTGTCTGAGTTCAAACAGGATGGGATCACTGTAGACCGAACTGATAGAGGCACTGACCCTGACACCACCTTCCATGCAGGTAGGCACGACAGCAGTCACAGAGATGCACAGCAATGAGGTCTGTGTGACCATGCACAAATACACACGAGCACAAAAAGCATGCCTTCTACTATAAACTTACACAAACCCATTCCCCTCTAAAAGTTAAAGGGCCACATCTCACCATGTAATCAATCAGGCCTGCTGGCATGCCAGGCTTTCATATGATTGGAAGTTTTGGTGCAGAAGATTGAGAGCCTGAGGTCAGTAAACTTCCCCTCTCTGTCTTTAGAAAGTAGAGCTGAATTAACTGTTGCCACTGTACAGATAGAGACTGAGGCTGAGAGTAGCGTATGCCCAAAGTCACGCCTGCAGCATGGTCTTCAGCGCACCTCCCAGTGGCTGGTTCTGGCCAGACTGCTCCCCGTGAGTGCTGTCTCTTGCCTGGCAGGTAAATTGAGAGAATGAGGCATCAACCTAATAATATCCTTATAAAGCCAAGCCTCCTTGCGCAAGTCCTCGGAGACAAGAGGCATCTAAAGATCAAACGCTACATCACAGTGTATTTGTAGGAATTCTCTGATTCTGCTACCTCCCTATAATGCCGTAATTGACTATTTGATCAGCTCTAAAAGGGACGGTGTTCAAAACAGACTCACACACACACGCGCATACACACACTCACACACACACTTACATACACGTGAACACTCTCGCATACACACACACATACATTCACCACACAAGCATATGCGCACACATTCTTTTGCATACCACATGCCACAGTACCCACACCAGTTCATGCAACAAAGGTCAATTTTCACAGGGGATGCTTGAAGGTGAGTGAAAAGCATACACCTAAGATTGTATGTGCCCTTCCGGTAATGGGCTTATCAATACCTCTTAAAGCAATGTGACAGCCAGCCCAGAGTGATTCAGTTGTGTGGACAAAGGTCAGCATATAGATATCCATTATTAATAATATCAATATCTTGATTGACCAATATAACCAGAAACTGTATCATGTCGCCATTGATGGGTGAGGCTGGGAGGACTCCACAACAATAGCCGGAAATTATGCCCATGTAAAATTAATCATATTGACTGGTTCTAAGAATATATAGCGAGGCGAAGATCTTGGGAGAGGTTGTCATGGTGGGAGAGGGGGTCCTTGTTCCCAGAGGCTTTATGGTTTTGAACTCCTGCAAGGAGACCGGGGAAACAGAGGCGTCCCTGAGTGACCGATGAGAACACTCTCCCTCATCCGGCCTTTGCTTTTCAACAGAGTGGGGTGGAGGAGAGGTGTACTCTGAACAGGAAAAGAAGGAAATAGGATCCCTTAACCATTATGCGTCCAGCATATCCATATCTTTCTGTCAAATCAATACTTGGCTTGGCTTGGTCTCACCGGATGAGGCACGGAAAGCATACTTGCCCCACTGTGTAAAGAGGTCTCTCTCCAAAGGGGTGGCATAAGCCTGAAGCCGTGTCCCTTTACCAGGGTGGGATATACTGGCTCCAGGAGATGCCAGTGTGCACTCTGCAGCCTGGGTATCCCGGGAGGAAAAGAAAGGCCTCCAATCAGATCAATCACTGTGATTAAATTCTTGGGATCAGCAGAGCCAGGGACTCAGGGTGCTGCCCTGTCAGCATTGCTGGTAGGGTGGGAATATCTTGGACTTCAGAAAGTCATTTCTCACTGAGGCTTACTTTCAGCCCCAGTGAGTGAGAAGGAAAGCCTTTGCGTCCTTCCAAGGGAAGGCTTGAAATTCTCTTGGGGCAGTCCTGGACCCCTCACTCTCTTGCTTATAAGAGCCCTGTCTCAGGACGTCCCTGGCCCTTCTTGGCAGCCATAGATAACACCTGGAAGGGTGTCCTGGGGAAGAAGTGAAAAGGAGAGAACCCCCATGTCTGGGCAGTCCTCAGAATGGAAAGAGGGCAGTCAGGAAGTGTCTCTGGTGACAGCCAAAGGCCCAACAGGCTTTTCGATCATTCCGTTTCTCTGTTTTTCAGAGTTGTCAAGGCAACGGAAAGGGAGCCTGCCTTAGAGTCCAGGCCCCATGGTGGGTGTGATGATGAATAAGAAAGGGGCTGCTAAGATGGGTGGTGGGGGATGCCTTTGATCCTAAAGGAGGGCAAGCAAATGGGGCCTGTCGCTGGATGGGAGATGGGGCTGCTTGAGGTAGGGTGCTCCCCTTCTCATAAGAAACAGCTCAGGCCCCAGTTGATCGGCCACATTCCACCCTCTTTGATTTGCTCTCCCACTCACCCAGGGTCATCAAGAGGCAAGAAGGTCCCCTGGCCTCTGTGGAGGCAGGGTCCCACCCAGGTGCTCACACCCAGCCCACGGGACCAAGAGCCCTGCGGGTCACTGCCACTCCCTCCCCAGTACACACAACCCGGCCTTCCTTGCAGAGCCCCAGCCCCCAAGGCTGCCCCAGAGAGTTCCCAGGCCCCCAAACTGGCTCCCATCCCTGCCCAGGCTGGGCACAGCCTCAGAAGGTATATGGGGAGTGTGGGTTCTGGCACCAGCATTCAGTTCTCCGCCCAAAGTGTCCTCTCCCCTCCTCGGCCACAAAGCCTGGCTCTAGGTAGCTCTAGGGAGAAGAGCAGAGAGCCCAGAAGCTAGACCACCTCTTTACACCTTTTTCATACCTGGGGAGGAAGCCCCTAAATTGTGTGTTGGGGAAGGGTTCCTCTTTCCTCCAGCTGTCACCTGCCCTCTGACGGTGAGACGAAGAACTTCTTACACACACGCTGCGGGCCCCAGTCTGAATTGCCCAGCTCCCGCAGCAGCCCAGGCCCCGCCTCACCCCAGGAGCTCCAACCCAAACCTCTCCCACACCCTACCCCTAACCCCGGCCAGTGTTGGCTGCTCCTTCTACACAGCAGCTCCCTGCACGGGTTGGGGACTCTCCAGGTCATTTCCCTCACTTGACAAGCCAGACCTGAGCCTGGGACACCAGCAAAACAGGGAACACAAAGCCAGAGAGGAGGATCAGAAAACCCAAAAAGTATTGTCATTTTTGTATCCATGTGAGTTTTGTTTCATTTCAAAAATTAATAATTACAGTATATGATTTAGTATGATTTTTATTCTTAATTCCATATGTTGGGGGCTTGTTAGCAAAGCACCAGAATCTTTTGCATACTTGGGGTCTGACATGGGTCCAACTCCAAACTGCTGTGTCCCTGAACTTCTGCAAAGGAATCTCCAAATGCCCTCCACAAGACGCACACATGTGGCACACTCACATGCTAGGTGTGATGAAATGAATGAGCCTGGGTGGAGAACCCACAGATTAGTGATCAATTGGTGCACTCACCACCCAGGTCCAGCCGAGGCCTCAGTAGAGCAACTTAAGCCTAGTTTATCATCAGAGTGACAAAGACACAGAGTAAAACTGGCTTATTTTCAGGTTCATTTTCTTATCGAATTAAAAAAAAAATCTTTTTGTTGAAAAATAAGACCTTCATCTGTACTGTCATCTTGACTATTTCAATAAGCAAATGATTAGATTTATTTTACAGTAAATTCTGTTGCCATTCTGTTGGTCAAGTTTGGAAATCCCCCGGAACGAGGAACAAATGGCAAAGCCTGGGACGTGGCAGCTGAGTTGGGTCCCCAGGGGAAAGAGAGGAACAGCAAGTTAAAGGGTGATGTCTCGGTGCAGGAAAAGCACGTTATTGGGCTGTGGTGAATGACTACTGGGTAGATCAGATCACAACAGCAGCTTAGGCCTTAGAGCAAGAGATCACACTCCTGAAGGGCTGACCAGCTACACACCAGCTGCAGAGGACACCCTTCCTCCAGGAGACCCCAGTTGAGACAGGTGGGAAGCCAGGCAGGAAGGGCCATACATGCAGGCTGAACCACCCAGCTGGAGCCAGCGAAAGCCAGGCTCTTGTACCCTTTGGGTTCAAATTCAAGACCCCCATCTGCCCCTTATGCCATCACCAGGGCTTTGGTTTGTTTCTCCCTTAGTCTCTCAAGTTTCTCAGCAAAACATTAACTTGGAATGTTCTGACCTTGTCTTGGCTGAGCCAGTGATTAAGAGGGCTAGTCCACAGCAGAGGCCACACAGCCAGGAGGAGAGCATCCCTGCAGACCAGCCAAGGCTGGAGGAAGGGCCTGCTGGGGTGAGAGTTGGGGACTCACTGAACCAACTGCCATTGACTTCTGGGATGCCCCCATCCCTCTCCACACTCACCCTCATCATGCAGAGGCAGGTTTCTGCAGAGCAGGGAGAGGGTAGGAAATTGTAGGCTGTGGGGGAGACATACCATGGCCCTCTGCAGGAACACCCCTGGGTCTGACAGGGGAGACAAAGGCCTCCCTCATGGAGGTGCAGATTTATGTCTAATTCAGGTGCCCTGAGTGTCAGGCTCTGTTCTGACAAGGTGGGGGACCCGCTTTCACTGTCACAAGATAACTTGAGATGTGATAGAAGACAGCAACCCCACAAACATAAAACTGTCCCATGTAAATGCCCTGTTGGGGGAATGTGGGAACCCCCGAAAGATGAGTAATCAGGTAGGGGCACTGGCTCTGAGCCAGATTCCCACATAGAAAAGGACGGCATAAGCCCAGCCTGGCAGATGGGAACGGGACAGAGCAGGAGGGCTGGAGAGCTGACAAGTCGGGGAGTTGTGTTTTGTTTCTTTCCATTGTGTTTTGTTTTTGTCCCTCTGCAATGAAATCTCATTCTCAGAATGGTGGACAAAGGAATTTCTCATTTTGAATAAATCTGGACCTGCCGGCAGCCTGGCTGAGGGAGAATCAGTCAGGGGTGGGTGGGTGTGTTGCTGTTACTCCGAAGAAGTCAGTGACACATGCCGAACCTGCCAGGGCTGTCCTCACCTGCTTTGGGGCTGCAGTGTCCTTCAGCTGTCCCAATTGCAGCCCACTTGGGCTGAGAAATTACTCATGGAATATTTAAACCTGTGGCCATGTTTGCTGTCACCAAGGCAGGCATCCAGATTGTCCCCACAGACTCACTCAGCTGAACGTCCCGAACAATAAGCTATAGGGTTCCAGGGGCTGGAATCTTCCCGCACCCTCGCCCTTCCTCTGCTCCTGCCCCCAGCACAGGAGTGGCTGGATGGCAGCCAGGCCATGGGGATGAAGCTGGGGACAGAGTTTCCTGGGGTGACACTGGTCTTGCAGCTGGAAAAATATTGGCAGGTCCCAGGAAGAACTGCCCCCATTGTGGACAGCACACCAGGGCAACGTCCTGAGCAGACGTTTTTTACTGCAGGAGAACAGTGGAATGGGCATATTTCTCCCATTTCTGGAAGAGAAACTCAGCCCAGGGGGGCGGTCATGGATGAGGTGGCCTTTGGGGCTGGCTCTTTAGGGGAGGGAGAGTCCCCTCTTGTAGACCTTCCACAGACCACAATCCCTGGCATCTTCCTGACCCCAGGGATTTCTCAGGGGAGAACAGAACTGGGCTCACTCATAGAGCTGGAGTGACTGAAAAATTCAGTTCCCTGTGGGGATATGGATGTCACTAGTGTTGGTCTTCCAGTACCCTCCCAGTTCCCAGTCATCCAGTCTCTACACTCCCCACCCCGAGTCCCAAACCCCAACCCCAACCCCCAGGCCACCTAACCAGGACTGAGGACTCTCAAGCAACGGTACCCAACCAAAAGTGACCTCCTTTTCCTAACATTTCAATGTCTTACCCCTCGCTGGTCTGACAAATCAAACTGGGCAGATGTGTCCCTGGCAGCTAATGGACATTATTAATGTGTTACCATCTCTGTTGCCACGTGCCTTTTAACAGGGACCTTTTAGAGCCCAGTCCTTAACCCAAAGAAACATCTCTAATCGGGGGGAATGTTCTGGCACAGGCCAGGCCAGAGAGAGCCAGCGTGAGGCAGGGACGCCTCTGTCTACTGGGAGGCAGCAGAGGTCTGCCTGGCCTCGAGTTCCGTTGCCCAAGCAGACCTCCACCTCCCCTGCTGCAGCAGAGAGGGACCCAGGCAGCCAGTGGACGGGCTCATCTCTTTGGTGGGCTCCCAGTGGGGCCTGCGGATCACAGAGGCTGCCATGCCAAAGGTTTAATCAAATATTAAACATGGTCCGTAAACTTAAACCGACATCATATCTGGAACACCACGTCCCTCCTTAAGAGCGCCTAGCTCTGGGGAAATTTCAGCTTAGCTTGGCCTGGGTGCGGGGCAGGGGCTTCTTAGTTCATGCTCCCTTGGGGGCAGGAAAAAGAGGAGGCAGGCAGGGACCATGGCAGGGGTGAGACGTGTGGCTTTCCTCCTCCATTCCATTATTCATTTCCCCTGATTTTTATCTAATCTCTCCCTGATTGTCCTGGTGAAACTTAATAGACAAAGTGAATTTTTATTACATCATCAATATAATCTCCAGCTAATCAGCAGACACAGGGGCCACCGCAAGCCCTATAGCTCCTCATCTGGCTTCATAAATAGTAGGAACAATCACTGCCAAGCCCAATTCTTCCAGCTCCTCCCGAGAGGCCCTCTCCCTGCTGAGCCCCCTCCCCAGACCTATTCTTGGGGTTTCTTTCTTCCCACGGATCCCCCCCACCCATTGGGCCACATTGCTAGTTGATGGAGACATCTTCCCCATTAGTATTTTTAGTTTTCTTCCTCCCAGCTTCAGCTGTTAAAATCACAAATCTGGGGCTTGTGTTTCGAATGCCAAAATAGCCTAATGTCGACTGATTTTGATTCTACTTTTCTCTGAGCTGGGACTATGATATGTCATAAGATATTATGTAATTGTGTGGATCACAGGACATACTATCAACCACGTTATATACCAGATTAAGTGATATGTTATACTGCACATATATAACCTATATATAAGAGTGTTTTAGTCATTTAAAGTTGAACCATGCATCTTGTGCACTGTATCATAGATGTTAAATTATGTATTTTATTTATATTATAGTATGCCTTCTATTTATATAGCATTTTAATCTGAAAAATACTTTCTTATATAGTACCTCTTTTTATCCCTATTGCAACCAGGTACAATTGATACCTTTTTTATAGAGAAAAATGAAAAAGGGATCATGAAGGAAAATTACAACCTGGTCAGATCCTGCCAGGATACGGCAGAGTGGCTCGGCTCAGGATGGGTTCCAGGAAGGCAGGGAAGGGGTCACCGGTGAATCAGGGATCGGGGAAAATTGTGTACCTGCTGACCAGGCAGGCAGATTCGTGAGGCCTGGCCTGCGGGGCAGCCCCTGGCCAAAAGGCGACCTTCATTCAAGGAGTAGGAGTTTTTTTCCCTGTCTCAAACCTGCCCAAAGTTAAATGTGCAAATGGATGAGACTAGGCCCATGCAGTAACAGGAAGCTGCTTTCTCCTCTGCTGTCCAGGGTCCTGGTCATACTGCTCTAGGATGGTTTGGATTTCAGAAAACCAGCAAATGCCACTTACAGTCAAATCCTTTAGATAAAGTGAGTGATGAGGCTAATAAATCTGACTTTGGGCACCCACAACAGCATAGACTGTTTGGGAGAAGGGTACTTTGCTTCCTGCAGACAATCAGGACCAGCTCTTGCAGTGACTGGCCCCGCTTCACCAGTCACCCCTTGATTCCTGAGGGTGTTTCCACACATCTGTTCAGCAGGTGGTCCACATGTGTCTGGGGCTCATGCACAGGCCCCTCCAGCTTGGCCCTGATCGTTGAGGCCTGGATGTTGCAGGGCTTCTGGGGGTGGGCAGTGTTTAGTGCCTTGGACACTGCCTGCTGCAGAGGTAGCTGGCACACCAAGGATGTACTCCACATAGGAGCCACATGCCTGGGTCCTTGCCCGACCCTGGCTCCAGCTCTCCCATGGACCAGTGTCCTCACTTCCTTGCTCAGAGGCTGGGCCTTCTGCTCTCACATCACTGCAGCAACACCTACTCAACCCATTGCTTAGAGTCATTGTGAGGATCATATGAGAAGGGAAAACACGGTATAAAAGTTAAAATGTCCAGGGTCACTGTCATGCCTCAAGGGTCAGCACCCCTATCAGCACCCCCATCAGCTCTGAGGGTCCGGCTCACTCTCAGAAACAGCACATAAGGGGTGGCACAAAGGCCAGAGGATGGGTGGGAAGGGATATTGGCAGTGCACCTACTATAGGACAGTGACACACACACGGACTCTCATTTGTTTTATCTCATCACATCCTCATGATAAAGCTTCGACAGAGATGTCACTGTGCCCCTTTGAATGCCAAGAAAATGGAAACTCGGAGAGCAGTAACGACTGAGGTTAGATACTCCCAGATTGGTCATATGCTCAAGCCGGCCACACTTCCTTGACTGCACACTCCCTTTATGGAAGTAAATAAAAAGATCATCTCTTACATCTCCCTCATTTTGCAGATGGGAAAACTGAAGCCCTGGGACATTACTGGCTAATGTTTTCTTAAATTATCACACACTGTCTTGTATGGAGGATCTGAAAACATACACAGAGAGAGAGAGAGAGATGTGTACACATTTATGGAAACACAGAGATAACTCACACAGACACACCCTCATACAGATACACACATACACAGAGATTCAAAAATCAGTACACACAGACACACATAGGAACACACTCAGAAATAGGCATTCATACAGATACTCATATATGCAAGCACACACACACACACTCAAAAATGCAGATACATTCACAAGCACATTCATAGACACACACATATAGAAACATTCTGGCACCCATGAAGAAGTGCACATAGAGATACACACAAGGATCCAGATACATACCCTCACACAGACACACACACTCACATGCCACTCCTTAAAGACAAGGCTTAATTAACCACAAGGCCAGAGACACAATTTATCCACCTAACTTGTTAGCAAGAAGTAAAAGCAGCTGGTTTGGAGAGTGAGACGAGAGAGGCCTAGCTTGGAAGGGAGGCGGGAACACAGGGGCCCCATAAAGGCTGTGGCCAAATCCTCATTAGAAGTCAACAAATAAACAGAAGGCATTTGCTGAGAGCACTCCCCCTGCAATCTCCCTTCTGCGTCAACCCACAGGATCTTGGCCAAATTTCTGTTCCTCTAACCAAGACCAAAGGCACGACCTGGAGAAATTTTGGGCAGGCTTTCCAAGAGCCACCCAGCCCCAGGCACTGGCTATAGACAGCTCTCATGTAGGTAAGGGGAGGCCTGTGAGCAGAATAGGCAGCCTCCAGCAGGTGGCAACTGGGAAGGAAGGAGAGGAGCAGGGTAGGTCTATAGCCGCAGCCTCTCCTGGAGACCAGCATTCAGGCTACCTCCGGCTGTGGCTGAGTGAGAAAGGTTTTTGTACACCCAACCCTCAGCCATTCACCCAAACCTGCTCCAGCCTGGGAGGCTCCTGTTGGCTCATGGGAACACATTTGAAAGAGAAGGTGGCCCTGCTCAGCTGTATTAAGAGAATACACACACACACTCTCTCTCTCTCTCTCTCTCACACACACACACACACACACACACTGAGCAAAGGGGTATTGGTGGTAAGGAGTTCACCAGGGAACAGGAAACCTATGGTTTTCTTTTCTTTAAAATAAAATCCTGAGGATCCAGGAATGAGTTATCTGTTTCCTCCATCTGCTGGATAAGCTGACCATTTGGAAGCTGAGTCTGTCCCGGGATGATGGGATAGCCTGCTTTCGCAGTACTAACTTGAGCTACATGTGCGGGACAGGAGACATGAGGGGTTGTCACTGGAGGTACTGTATGTTTTGCCCCGTCCTGCATAGACAAACTGTGCCAGGCAGCTGCAAGAGGTGAGGCTTGGTGGACACCTCTGGGGACTATGACACAGTGCAGGCTGTGGTGTGTCTGCTAGAGGTGTGCCATGTAGATTCATGTTGTAGCCATGGGTTTTGCATTACACTGCATCCTGTGGTTCTGCTGGAGCGTGCACGTGTGTGTTAGTGCTGTGTGGGTCAGTGTGTGTCACGTGTGGGAGAGCTGTGTTTTCTACACTGGTCTGGAAAGAGAGGGGAGGATGCCCAGAGGGTTGTCTTCATTCCTCCAAGGCTGCAAAGCTCCCTCATCCTGGGACTTGCTATCTGGCAGAGCCCCACCCTTTCCCTCCCAGCTCAGGATCCAGAGGTCTCTCACACCTGGACCACGTCTGTCCACAGCCTGAATGAAGTGCTCTGAGTCTGACCAGGATCCTGGAATCGGGAGCCTCTTACTGCAGCTGCAGTGAGAACTGTATGTGTATGTGTGTGCATACATGTGCGTGGGTGCGAGCATGTAGTGTTCACCTGCCCACACACCACTTCCAAGTGAGTACACTCCAATCCCGGCCTGTGAGACCTGGGTGAGGAGATGAGGAGATGTGCGGACGTGTATGCTCATACGTGCTGAGTGTATGCAAGTGTGTGTGGGCTGTGACGGGCTCGGGTGGGCCAATTTTTAGTGACAGATTGTGTGTACGTCTATGACTACAGTTTCTACCAAGTGCATGTAAAAAACAGAAGAGATGAGTCCAACTCCCTGGGTGAGCACGCCTGCAGTTCTCTGCAAATGTGTGTGAGCGTGGGTGTCTTTTTGAGGGGCCTCTGGCCAGTTGTAGGGGAGGAGTGTGGGAAAAGTATGTGGGGAGAAAGGGCTCTGCACACGTGTGGTTGTGGGCAACCTCGTTGGGTGGGACGCTAAGTCAGACAGTGTCCTCCAGAGACCTCGCCACTTTCTTGGATGCACGGCTGGGCCATCTGTGGCATCTTCTCACATTCTGCCCACAGATTCCCTGGGAGACCGGAAGAAGAGGGGGTCAGCTCCCCAGAAGGTAGCCCTGAGGTCTCTTCTTGGAGACAACTGCAAGTGCAGGGCCATGTGTGTCTCTCTCCCTCTCACACACATATATGAGAGGGGAGAGAGAGACGGGGCAGCTACAGGAAAAGAGAGGCCCCTGCCCCACCACCTCCATCCAGGCTGGAGCAGATGGTGCTCAGACCCTACCAGCGAGGCCAGAGGCAGCACTTGGAAGCAACGTGTCCTGAGGGAAGGACCAGAGTGGGGTCCGGGGAGATGCTCTCTGGCCAAATGCATCTCCGCTCTCCTGGGCCTGTCCTTCTGTCCAGAAACACAGGGCTCCTGAGCCTAGCCTACATGTCCAGCTACAGATGATTTTTCTCTTTGCCTCATCTCTGGGCCCCCTGGAGGCTGAATTCAGCTACTTGGGGTGCAGGCACAAAGGCAGGCCATCCCCAAGCCTGGCCCCAGCCCACCTCTGGCTCCAGCTTGAGTCATTTTGCTACTAGGCAGCAGGAGGAAGGCCAGTCCTGCCTGCCCAGGAATCCCGGGATCTCAGGCACAGATCTGGCAGTTACCCATTCACTCATCTGGAGGCCCCACCACTCTTGCCCCTGAGGACACTACCCCCTCCTCACACCCAGGGTTTGGCTGTGTGCCTTGCCCAATGCGTCTGCAGCAAGCCGCTGTTGGGCACTGGTGCCCTTAGTATGCCCAGTCTTCCTGCAGCTGAGGCTGGACCCTGACCCTTCCCAGCATCTCCGAGAACACATGTGTCAGAATCTCCTGGGATTCTGGTGGGAAATGAACCTCCTGAGCTCAACCCCACACTTTCGAATTCCCTGAGGATGAGGCCAAGGAATCTGCAAGTTGGAAAGCAGCTTTAGGGGTCTCCATGCATGTCATGCTGTCTGTCCCTGGAGCCCCAGGGTCAGCTCCCTGTCCAGGTTGTCAACAATGCTGTGGCTTCCTCAGGCCTCAACCAGATACCGCCCTGGGTATCCCCTAACTTCCTGTGGCTTGCCTCATGGCCCCTGGGGCTCAGCTTTCTTCCCTAGGGAAATGACAGCCTACATTTTTGGAACCATCTGCTTATGTCATAAAACCGATTCCTTAGGCTGTTGTTATAACTGTCATAACAGACATGTCTTCCCCACTTGCAGGAAGTGGATCCCAATCTCACACTCTTAAATTCTCATCCTCATGTAGTTACACAAGCACAGATACACTTATACACATACATACGTGCAAGCACACACACATACCCACATACAGGCCAGCCAGCTCCGCTGGTGACACATTACATGCAAGTTCTTTGTGTTCAATGGTGAAGCTATTCTGTGCCCAGCTGTGAAGTCGTTCCCCTGCTCAGCACCTCACACAGATTCCCAGCTCCTCCCAGCGCCCATTCAGTGAGGAGTGGAGGCTCTGAAAGCAGCACAAGTGCCGTGTAATGGGCAGCACTGAGGTCTAGCACCGCAGCTCTGCTGACAAGCTGTGTGAGTTGGACAAATCCCTTTACCTACTGGTCGGCCTCAGTCTCCCTGTCTAGCAAACGGGAATTTACACCCTGCCTAGATGAGCTGCTTGTGAACATGGAACGCAGTGATTTCGGTGGAGCATCTGGCAGTGCCTGGAACGTGGTGAGCCTGAGATAATTGTAGCTGTTGAACAAATGGAAAAAAAAAGAAGTAAAAGAGTTCATGACCTAGGACATCCCTGGCCTTGCCGCTCTTGCCCTTATCTCAGCCCTCCCTTCCTGGGAGGTAAGTCGCATCTCTGCACCTCTGCTCAGGCTCTTCTCCACCTGGGGTACCCTCTTCATTCCTGCTTCCCCCAAGCCAAGGCCTGCTTCTCTGCACAGACTGCGCCGAGCCTCCTCCAGGAAGCCTCTAACTGCTGCAGCCCCATCAATCTCTCAGAGTCCCCCAAGCTTCAGCCTCCCCGGAGCTTCAGCCTCCCCACCCAGTGGCACAGACCATGTGGTAGCCTCTCTCATTCATCTGGAGGGAATGGAGGGGCCATCAATTGGTCCCCAGAAAAGACCAGTTGCTTTTTCAATACTAAGTTTATTGTAAATGTTTTCATTGTCAATAGTATTTGTCATAGAAAAAATAAACAAGATGACAAGGTAGCAAGAAGAGGACACCCATATTCCCACTCCCCAAAGGGAGTAAGCCTTTCATTCTAGTCCAGGAACTCCTTTGAGTAAGTCACTGGGCGCCTGTGGAGCTCCATTTCTTCCTCTGGGGATGGAAATGAAATGAGTCACCTTGAAGAACACTTCCTGTTTCACAGCCTCTAACCCTATGATGTAAAGTTCATGCTGGATTTAGAGTTCAGATTCCAGGGTGGTGCAACCCTTGGAGAGCTCTTGGATGCTGGGGATGGGAAGGCATGGGAAGATTTGAGGGGCTACTCAGAGACCACAGTCAAAGGTGCTAAGTTCATGCAGAGACTGAAGAGTTAAAATGGAGACGGGTGTGATGGAGAGTCCTCATCAGTACTAGGCTCTAACCAGGTTCAAGGCAGGCAGTGGTGATGCCATAGAAAGAGCACTGGATTCAGAGCCCAGAGACTTGGGTTTTCATGTCTGAGAGCCAGGCAATGACCAGGGACCAGGCATTTCATTCCTGGAGCTCAGAGCGTCTCCTAACCTGTAAGTCAAGAATAACAACACTGGCTTCATGAGTTATTATGGCAATTAAGTGAGAAAATGTAGAAACATCTAGAATAGTTTTGTATAATGGTAATAATCATAATCACAATAATAAGAGAGGGATTGTTAACATGTATTTATCATTTACTGTATCCCCAGCATGATGCCAAGTGCTCTAATGTGCTATCTCATTTAATGTTCCCAGTTTTCCTAGGAGAACATTTCAATTTCTGTTTTACGGACAAAGACACAGAGGCACAGAGTTTAACTGCCCTAACTTCCCAGGGCACAGAGAAAGTAAGTGGCACAGCCAAGATACCCAGCCATGCTCCCAAGAGTCATACGCTTGGGGAAGAGCGCCTGTGCCTATTTCGGTTAAGTACCCACATCCAGGGAGTAGCAGATCTTCATGACTGGGCCTCAACCTTCCTTAGTGTAGATGCCACCATGGAAGATCAGAGCAGCCAGCTTGTGAAGTTCAGTGGGTGCACAGCGAGCACTCAATAACGAGTGTTTATTTATTGCTTCTGTTTACAGCTCTATTCCCAAAGTGAATTGTTTGTTTAAGTAAGGAGCATTTACCTTTATTACAGTCATTGGTAAATAAAATTATATTTGCATTTCCACAAATATGTATGAGTTTAATTAGTCTTGCAATTCGTACACAAGAGCCAGTCCAGGAAACACATTTATGAGCTCCCACTTCTACCCTAGGCAGAAGGCCTTCTCCCGCAAACACCATCAGGATTAAATAACTCACTCATTCACAAACAGTTACTGATCACCCACTCTGCCACTGCTGGAGTCACAATGATGACCATGGCACAGAAACCTCTGGGTCTCCTGGAGCTCACATTTTCATGAGGAGAGTCAGATGATAAATTAAAAATTAAAATTAAAAACCTGATCATAAGTGTTGTGCTGAGAATTAAAACATATAGGTGAAGCGTGACTGGGGCCGCTGTATACATGTGAGTGGGGAGGGCTCCTCTGAGGAATTGACAGTGAAGCCAAGATCCAAACAACAAGCAGACATGGCGGGAGAAGGCACTTCCAACAGAGAGAACAGCAGGTGCAAAGGCCCAGAGGCAGGAATGGGCTTTGTGTGTTCAAGGGACAGGAGGAACACCAGTGCGACAGGAGCGTCCCGGGGTAATGGGGAGAATTAGCTGGGAGGGGCTGGCGGGGCAGGTTGTATCAGGCTCAGCAGGGGTGTCTGAATTGTTTTCTAAGGTTAGCAAGAAACACTGGAAGAGCCATGTTCTGATGTATGTTTCACAGAGATCTTTCAGCTGCTGTGTGGAGCCAGCTGCTACAGGAGAGCAGACGTGGAGGGGGACAGCCAGAGGAGCAATGATGGGGCATGGATTAAGAAGGGCAGTGAAGGTGTGAGAAACAGATGGGGTCAGGATGTGTTTGGGAGACAGAAGTCCCAGGACTTGTTGATGGATTGGGTGTGATGTGGGGAGAAAGAGAGAAGCCCAGGACGATTTGAGGCACTCAGTGCTGAGTGGGGCCATTTACTGGGAAGGAATGTGTTTTAGGGATGGATGATCAAAATTCTGATTTGGCCTTGCTAAGAGCGGGAGGCCTGTTAGATGTCCAAGGGAGGCATTAGGAAGGCAAGTGGATATATGATCCAGGAGCTCAGAGTGATGATCTGGGCTGGAGGTATAAATTTGAGAGGCATCAGTATGTCATGGTATTTAAAGTCATTTATAATAGAACAAATTAAACAAGACTTCCTAGATGTGATTATTGTTCCTCCTCAGTGTGGACTGAGCATCAATTAGGTCACAGACTGTGTGATGCACACTATGAGGTCATGCATGCGTGAAGCTTGGAACAGAGGATGCTGGGAGTCCTCCTTCCCCATGCCCCCACCCCACCTCCAGGCAGGTGCTCACCCACGCTGACACTGCCAGTCCTGCCAGCCCTCACTTTGTCATTAATGAATGAGATAAAGGAAACTGTTCCTCCTGCCTCAAATTGTCCTGCACCATCTAACAGAACTTAGCCCAGGTCTGCCCCTCCCATGCTCCCACCTAAATCCCTCATGCTGTAGCTTCATTCCCTCCAGCCCTTGCCAGGGCCACTGCTGCTGCCCTTTCTTGGAACATCTTTCCCAGGATGCCAAGGTTGCATTCCACGCAGCAGGGAGAGCGGGAACTGCTGTCCAGGGGTGAGTCAGCCAGATTCACAGTGGTGATGTAGGTCGCAGAGCTCCCTCCTCCCTGCCCCACTGCTGCGGCTGGAGCCTTCCCACCCAGCCTGCTCCACGATCCATGTCCTTGTGGCCCACATATCCCAACCCAGCCACCCCCGCCAGCCTGACCGTGCAGGCTCGTTTATCTGAACGCCTAGAAGGGAAGAGCCCCTTGGGAACTTCTCTTTGGCCCCCAGAGCCACGACCAAATGCCGAAGGCAGACCGCTGGCCTGTTTTCCCTGTTTTAAAGTAAAAAATACAATAAAAGCGACACACAAAGAGAGATGCTGCTGTTTTACTTACAAATGAGAGATGTAATCATTCCCCCAGGTACCTGGGAGGCTGTGGGCTGGGGCCAGGGAGCCAGTGGGCGGGAGGATCCTAGGGCCATAGGCACCCTCTCCACATCCTGCTGGGTGCCAGCAAGTGAGCGAGGCACTTGGTCCCCACCCCAAACTTCTCTTACTCACAGCCATCCCAGAGCCAAGCCCTCCTTCCTTGTCACCTTGAGAGATACTCAGGGGTCTGAGCCCACTGTCAGGAGGGTAGTATTCAAATGCCCTGGTAAAAAATGATGGGGTGTCTGACTGCAAGGCTAGGTGGTGACAGAGACAGCTACGCACACGTCAATGCATATGCACTGTTGTAATTGAGTAGTTATTAATAAAGCTATGTCTATTGTCCAGCTCTCTAACATGCCAGGCCTGCGCTGCCCATGAGACCTGATCATCACCTCTCTCCATCCTCACAGCAAGCCCATGTCAGCATGGCCAATTCGGTAGCTAACAGCGGCGTGTGGCTATTTACATTTACATTTAAATTAACTTTATTCCAATGTAATTTAAAAATCTGTTCTTCAGTTTTACTAGCCACATGCCCAGGGTTCAACAGCCACAAGGAAAGAGTGGCTACAGTGGTAGATAGTCTATGCTGTCTACATAGCACATTTTCTGCATGCCAGAAAGTTCTATCAAACAGTGCTGAGAGCATTGCATATGCACGGACTAACAAGAGTGCATGAGTGAAGACACATACATAGGCATGTGTGACTGTCACTGGAATGTTCACGCATGCAGAGCACAAGAGACACAGCTGTGCATGTGTTTAGGCTGTGTGTGTGCACGTATGTGTGTGTGTGTGTCTTAGAGGTGCCCAGTCCTTGTCCACCACCCCAGGCATCCTGCTGCCTGAAGGAATGTCAGGAACATGAGCTCTGGAATCAAACTGTCCGGGTTGGAATGTGGGCTCTCCCACTCTCTAGCTGTGTGACCTTAGGCAAGTGGCTTAACTTCTCTGTGCATCAGCTTTCTCTTTATAAAATAAAGATAATAACAGAGCCATCGTTGAGGGTTATTAGAAACATTACATGAGATAATATGTGCAAAGCTCTCGGAGAGGCTCCCAGCACACTGTGAGCTATTAATAAACATTAGCTGTTACTGTCGTTTCCAAGAGGCAGTGTGTCTGCTGCGCAGGAGCAGCCTTGGAGAAGAGTCTGCCATGTAGGGGAGGGCGTTGAGAACCCTGATGAGACCGAGGATTGCTTCATTCTCAAGCCTGCCACCGTTTCCTGAGAGCAGCAGGGTGGGGCGGGGAGGGAGCTGGTGGGAGCAGCAGGGGTCCCCACCAGCCAGGGAAGGAGACTCCACAGAAGAGGGGTGCTGGGGCGAGGAGGTGCCAGGAGGGGAGGCACACGGGAGGTGGCGGGAGGGACGGAGCAGGAGTCCCGCCTTAGCATGTTGTTTACAGCCTGGCTCTTCCTGTCGGGCGCTGGGAAACGTGCTGCTGAGTGAGGGAGACAGAACCCCGTGCGTAACTGCTTCACAATGTCAGAATTGCTTTCTATATTCGCTAAAGCACCAGGCCAGCTATTCCCTCACACTGCCCTCTAGGATCTAAAGTCTCACCTGGGAATGAGACCAACCCACAAGCGACAATTGGAATGAAAAAGAATCAGAGCAGAGGAGGCACCTGAGGGAATCACTAGTCCCAGGCAGCCATTTTAACACAAATCAATTCAACAGGTATTTGCTGAGTGAGTGCCTGCTCTGGGTAAAGACAGCGTTGTGGGTGCTTGGGGGATTCAAAAAAGCGAAAAGGCAGGAAGGAACCTCTGCCCTCAAGGTGTGGAGAGCCAGAGAGAGAGAGGCTCCAGGCCTCAGCAGCCAAAGGTGAGACGGCTCGGGAGACGATTACACACAGGATCCGGCATTTGTAATGGACTTTGAAGATGAGTGAGACCTTTCAGAGAGCAAAACAAGGTCCAGAGAGGTTGGACAGCTTGCCCAGGGCTACACAGCCAGTGAAGACCCGAGCCAGGTGCAAGGTCTTTCTACCATGGAGAGACAAGGAAAAAGGGATGCATCCCTAGGCACACAGTATAGAGAGCAGGGCCCCAGGGGTGCACACAGGAGAGACCAGATCCATCCCCTGGGATGAGGGGGCCGCCCTCCCACCTCGCCATCCCTCTGGCCTTCGGTAAGGTCCGCCTGATGCGGCGAGAGGCCGCCTGTGTTTTCAGACGTGGCCAGCAGAGGGCACCAGGACTACTGCACAACCCGGACCAAGGAGTTGGCCGCCCCCAGTGCTGGATTCAGCGCCTGGGACTCTCCGGGGCACCGGGCACAAATGTCTGCCCACTCACACAGCTCCGTGGGGTGAGCCCGTGATGGGACACCAGGTGGGGGAGCCACGCCCGCGGCTTCCATGTGGACGGTAGGGCTCCACGGAAGCAGGCCTGGTTGGACAAGAGAAATCCCAAGACCCTCCCAGATTGGGTGGCACCTCAGGTTGAATAAAAAAGTTTTCCCCCAGGAGGAGCTTGTGTCTGGTGGACATAAAATGAGTGTATTTTCTTTAGTTTCCTCTCAGAGAAAGCAAAGGGAGGGGTTTCTCCATCTGTCACCACCTCCGGGGCTCATCCCCAAACCCCTACAGGCAAGCAAGGAAATAATATAAACAGCCCCTGTCAGGCTCACGTGTGGAGTTGGGGTCTGAGATGGTCCCCCAAAGACCTGTAATTTTCATGTCCTTTTGCAGAGGCATGACAGAGGAACCATGTCCTTTTACAGAGACCCGACCGGGAACTGGCCTCCCTGCCTTAATCATAAAGGCCATTTGAAGTTAGCCCTCGGGTTGCCCTTTTGCAGAAAGACACCCCCAAGGACTTGCTGGGAACTCCTTCTCTTGGATAGAGAGCACCATTCTTCTCCGAGAATGCCAGGCCCTCGGCATGTACACAAGGCCCCTTCAGTCCAGCCTGGGTGCGATTTCCCAAACTCCAAAGGAATCGGGTCCAAATTCGGTTTTTCTTCTTCCTGCTCTGAGAACCAGCCTATGTTTGGTTTGGGCAGTGACAGTTTGGAGATTCAAATGAAAGTCATGATCAAGGTGGTGATAACTGAGTGCACAGCAGAAAATGTAAGGGGAGAAGACAAATGCAAGAGGAGGAGGCAAATGCTAGGGACAAAGAGGCGAGGGCAGAGGAGAAAGCCCAGGCAAGGGCTGAGTGGCCAGAAGGGTCAGGAAAGCCAGGCTGAAGATGGGTGACCTATGACACCCGCCAGTCGTGCTGTGGGACAGTACTAGGGGATGTGTTACATCAGATCACATCTGTCCTCGGCTTTATGTGAAGGAACCTTGTGAGTCAGCTAGCACCCCCTGGCAAGGTGGGGCATGTCCTCTCTCCCTCCGCAGAGCACAGCTCACACCATTGGGAGGTGTTGTCCAAGCCTCCCTGCAGGCCTGGGAGTTTTGTGTGAGTGTGTGAAAGCCTGGGCCGCCTGCACGCGAGCCTGTGGCTTTGGGAGGTGGGGGTGATGGTGATGGCAGTGGGTGGAAGGGAGCAAGTGCAAGATGTGCAAGGACTTGCTGCCCGGGGACCGGGGCCTAGGGCTTCTCCTATCTCAGGTGGGCCACCACCTCCCACACGCTCCATATCTGCATCTGTAAAATGCAAATAGCAATCTCTGCCTCACCCATCCCACACAGATGTTGTGATGCTCAGATTAGGCAAAAATGTGGAGAAAAGGCACTAACGAGCAGCACACAGGTGTCCTGCGTAGACCTGTAGCTGAGGACCCCTTGTCCAGGGCTGAGGAGATGACTGTCACTCAGGAAGTTCCCTTTTGGGAGGGAGTAGGGGAGACAGAAAAGTACATAGAAGAGAGTCAGATTCTAGAGAAGAAAGAGTTTCCAGTCCTTCAGGTTCCAATGCACCATTTGCCCTAATGCCTATCCCTTGGGACTCTGAAGACCACAGGCCTTATCCCACAACCATTCTGGCCTGTGCAGTGCTCAGCTTTCCCTGGGGAAGCCTGTTTGCCACCCCACCCCTCCCATCACCCCTCCAGGGAGTATCCTCCCACCTTCCCCCATTGCTCTAAACAGCTGTGATTCAGAGAGAGTCATTTCCAAGGAAACCAACAACAACAACAAAAATGTCCAGGCGTCAGGGGAAATTTCAACCACAATGCAAGTGGTTCCAGAGGAGCATTGACAGCACCCAGGATGCAGCTTGGGCTCCCGGCACTGTCGGCACCAACCTCAGAGGAAGAGACATAAACAGGACATATGTGCAGGGGCGTGGGGAGGGAGATGGATGTTTCCCAAAAGCAGGAATTAAAGTTTTCAATAACATTTGTTGTTCAGCCACAAGGCTCTCGAGACTAGAGGAACCCCAAAAGAGATCAGGAAAGGTTAGCAAGGGCCTTTTTACCCGGAAGTGAATCATGTTCTCTCTCGCTGCATGGCCAGTGTGGATCCAGGTAGGGATCTCCACGCTCTGTGATGGCAGGGTTCACCTGAGCAGGCTCCTCTGTGGCCTGGCCTCCTGGTGGCCGCCCCACTCCCTAGGGGTGCTCAGAGCTGGCTTCAATCCCACATTCAGAATGTGGCTGCTTACTATCTTTGGAGCTCACAGTATAGATAGACGCTGTTAAGTAATACACTTGTATAAATTACCTAACGGCCCATGTGTGCACACAGGGGAGCGTGCACCATGTCAAGTGATGGGTTACGTGAACTCTTCCTGCTACTCCCATGATCACTGTATGCTGATATGATAAAGGCAGCTCCTGAATTTTGCCATATGGATCTCAGAGTTGTGTGGGTACCGGGAGCTGCTTGGAAAGTCTGCAACCTCAGATCCCTGGGCCACTGGTCTTGGGAACAGGAGCAATTGTCTTCAGAATTTGTTCTGGACGATGAATTCAGTCTTATTTTAACATTTTGAAATGACTGACTAGGAAAAACCACAAAAAGACAATAAATAATGCCAATAAGGTATGTACCGTCGTGTAGATTTTAATCTAGAGAGTCAGATTCTGCCTGGTCCAAATCATACAGAGACATTATTTTTAATTCCGGAATCACCAATTAGATAATCCTCCATAGTCAGGGAGGATTTCCAGCATGGTGTTCTATTGTTGGAGAAGACCTGGGTGCAGGGAGGCCCACCTCCCATCCAAGGCCACACGGCAGCTGGGTGCCTAGGACTAGCTGTGCCTTCAGACAGCTTCAAGGATGAGGAAATGAGTGCAGAGGACAGCTTTCCATCAGCCTGCTGTGTAGACGTAGCAAGCTTTCGGGACATGGCACCTCAGTTTCTCTTGCTTCTACTGGCAACATCAGGGTTCCATGACCTGGAACAGTCCTGTGCAGCCCTGGCCCCCGCTGGCTTTCAGAAGGGGTTCTGTAAACACTGGGCTCTGTGAGGCGTGTCACCTCGTCTCTAAGGCTGAAACCGACCAGACAATAGGCCAGAGCAGGAAGTGTCTGCATTCATACCCAGTCCTCTGCCTTCCCTCCCTTCTCTTCCCCTCCCTCTCTTCCCCTCTGGCCCTGGGGATGTATTTTGCATCCTTTAAATGATCTTGTTTATTCTATGTGTCGGAATATAGTTATCTGAATATTAATTATGGCTTTAGTGAAGTTCATCGGTTGAATGCAGGAATTGAGAATTCCTCCTTCACTTTCAGCCACCTGCTTTGATTTCTCTGTTTATCTGCTTGACTGAGCTGAAATCAGTTTCTGTAAGTGAAAGTCGGCTGCTTGGAGCAGATGTTAATGCTCAGAAATAGTGTACGGTCTGCTATTAGCATAAGTAGCATGATGCTAATAAATAGAGGTGTGCAGGGCTAGTGGCAGTGGTGCCGGTGGGGACTGAGGGACAGCGGCCTGCCCAGTGACAGAGCCTATGCCCCACCCAGAGGAAGAGGGAGAGCCGCAGCCTGGGTGCTGGACACCTTCTGCCCAAGCCAGCCCCGCCCTTCCTCCTCCCCAGCACCCCAGTATGCAGCCAGCTAGGGGCCGATGATTAATGACGGCGAGGACTGTAACCAAATTGTAGTGCCATTAGCACCAAGTCACAACTGACAACTAGATACATCATCTCTGAGCTTTCTATCCAGCTAACTAATTTAACTATGTGAATACGGGAAACGCTGCTCTGATGCCATAAGGCAAATATTGCCAATACCCGGGAGCCTGTCAGGAATGAGAGACGGGGAATCCATCGGGGCCCAGCAGCCAGGTCCACAGTCCTGGCTGGGTCAGCAGATCTGTCTTCATGGCATTTGCGCTTCAAGGCTCTGGAATAACTCCACCATACACCCCACGGAGCCAGGACCAAATAATCCACCAAACCAAGCCCCCGAATCCAGGACCACCCCCACTGCTCTCCCCTGACATGGAGATGACAATGTTTCCTTCCAAGTCAGAGAAGGACAGATTTGGTCACAACAATGCATTTCTCCCCATCCCCGAATTTCTCCCCATCTCTGCAGCTCCCCACTTTCTCCGGGAGAGGGACTTGCAGGAGCTCTGATGAGATACAGGTGGGCCTCCGTTCTCACAGGAGCTGCTCCCGAAATAGTGAATGCAAATTGTTATTATCTTCTTTTTTGTCATTTTACAATGAATCTTATTTGAAATGTGCTGTGTTTGCTCATCAGAAGAGCCTTATAAGGAATCCTTTTAGAAATAAAAGAATCCTTCTGCCATGTGAATAGTTGCCCTTTAATTCATCTGCTTTATGAGCTTGGGGGCGCCACACAGCCATGTTCTTAAGCCAGCCCCTGAATTACCAGGTGATTTATTCTCTGAATCAGAAGGGCCCCCACTCAAATCACCCCTCTGCTGTATGGGCCAATGGCTGGGAAGGTTGGGGGGCCAAGACATTGACTCCATGTTAGAAACTCCAGATTCCCAAGTTTTTCACCTGCCGTAGTGGAGGCAAAAGAGAGCCTAATAGGTTCTCTGTGGCTCAGCAAATCCAGTCTCCTCTCTGGGGTTCCCTACTCACAGTCAGGGAAATGAGGACAAGCTCGTGGGATAATGTCTGTGAACCAAGACAGGAAAACTCAAAGCTCTCCAGCAATGGAAGGAGACATTCGTGCGTAAGCAGCCGTGTACCCGCAGCCGCGTGCCTGGCTGAAGCACAAGGGCATGGTATCTGGAGTGGCTGGGCCAGCTTGCTGGAAGGCTGCATTCTGGAAGTGGCCGCCCACGCCAGTAAGCTCAGAAGACAGTAATGGCAACAACCCAGATAATTCTGGGAAATTTAGCTTCCATGAGAGAGATCCAGATAATGGAGATGGGAAGAAAGACTTCGGTGCCTGAATAATTGTCCAGCACCCCTCTTTCCAGGGCAGCCACTTAGACAAGAACTTTAGGTCACTGACAGTTACCTAAATAGATAATTCATGCCTCATGTAAACAGCACTTTCTCCTTGGAGAGGTTCTCTCTTCTCTTTTCTTTTGTGTAAAATTTGCAACTCCCTTATGAGTGCAGGAATTATTATCCCATTTGGCAGATGAGAAAACTGAGTTTGCATATATGTTGAATACGGGGCTGTTACTTCTATAGACAACATGCTACGTTTATTTCTGTCAGAAAATTAACACCATGTCACCTGACCTTTCGGTTTTTTTTAATTTTCTACTTTACTTTCCAGAACATAAAAAGTCAAATCCCTGACCCAAGTGATCTAATCTGTTTCTCTCAGGTGCTTGAAAGCATATATTTCCTGTTTCCCTCAAGGAGGCTATCATCATTTCTCTTAAATGTCTGGTCTTTCATCTGAATGCTATTTCAGATGTTAATGGGGTACAGTCTCCCCAAAAGATAGCATCCATCCCTCCATCTGTTATTCCACAAACCCTGGGCGAGGGTTACAAAGGTGACTGCGATGCAGTCCCTGTTCTACAAATGCCTACAAAGAAATAAAGTACAAAGCCACATTTCCCCAAACTGCCACAGGAACACACATTCAAAGTGCTGGGATGTTCAGAAGAAGAAAGGCTGTCTCCTGAGGGGCTGACTTGGGGAGCTGCTGCACGGGGTGTCCTTCGATCCTGGCCTTGATGAATGGATATGATTGTGAAATGCAAAGATCAGCAGAAGTGCCCTCTGCAAGGAGAAAGCGATTTGAGTAACAGCAGAGAGGTGCTAGGGAAACAGTGCAGGGCCAGGTAGGCCGGCGGCGGACCCCCAGTGGACATGGTGGAAGGGGAGCTAGCATAAGCCATCAAGGGTCTGGACCCAAGGCCAAGGAATGTGCGCCGTAGGCGATGAACAGGGACACACACTCATTCCCTTCCTTGAGATTTCTCAGCGTTAACAGACCAGAGATTAAGACCAGAGTTAACAGGGAGATCCTGTTGAGGGGCCAGGGCAGGGCCTCACTCTCTCACTACCCACAGTGACCAAAGCAGACCAGTGCCCTGCCTTCTCACTGTCCTGCACCCAAGGACCCTAACTGCACCCCGATCTCAGGGTGCGAGAGGTCTGGTCCCCTCACGCTCAGCTGCATCCTACATCCTGAAAGCCATGATGGAACAGCCCCTCTATCCTAGCACAGGAGAGTGCCACTTCCATGATGGAAATCCTCCATTCCCAAACTTCTCACCTCCAAAGACACTATTGGTTCCACCCACCCCACCCCACCCTCAAGTCCTCTACTTTCTTAAAGGTTTTGCCTTTAAAACAAACTGCTGTTATTAAATAAATAATTGATTTCCTTCCCCATTTTTTATTAATCAAAGGCTAATCAGAGCTGCAGATCGGCATGCGACAACCAGTGTTAGCCACACGGAGTGGATATAATTCTTGCTAAAAGCAGCGAGGTGCTATTTTTGTTTTCCCCGTGCAGCCTCATCAAGGGGACATGTGCAATTTCCATTAGGCTTTGTGAAGCATCAAGAAAGAGCTGGGACTCTGGGACTCCAGGGCGGCAAGCTCAGCTAAACTGTCCACACCCTCAAGGGACCTTGGGGGGCTGCAAAGAGGCAGTATGAGGACCAGTTTCCTGCTCAGTGAGGAGCAGCTGGAGGGGCCCAGTTGAGGCTGGAACCTGGGATAGAAGGGTCTCCCAGTACCTGCAGAGGTTGTCAGGACAGGCAGCTCCGGCCTCAGAGGGCTGCTCTGGGCAATGATTCAAGCTGAACCTTGTCCTGGCCTGAGGCTGAGGATCCCCAGAGCCACCGACAAGCCTGTGACCTCACCCCATCTTGCTCTCCCATGGGTGACTCCCACCCCAGCTCCTGCCTCAGCAGATAAGATACCTGCTTACCCCACCCCTCCCTCACCTGTGCCACCCCCGAGCTTAAAGATACTACTGGCAGCATCAGGGTTCCACGACCTGGACCAGATTCTTATCAGTCTTTTTTTTTTTTTCTAATCCTGCTGACTTTTTTCCTCCCTTTCTCTCTCTCTCTCTCTGTACTTATTGATCCCAAATGAGGAAAAAGTCTATTAATCCTAAACCCAGAGAAGATTAGAGATAGGGCCGAAAGGGCTTGTCAGGACAGAGCTGCACGGGCATTATCTCCTAGGAAGGTGACCACGTCACTAGCAGAAGGAGGAAGGAGAACAAAGGAAAGGAACAGAAAGTGAAACAAAGAGTGGCCATCCCAGGAAGCAAATGTGATCCCTGCTCCATCGGACTGAGGGGAGCTATCCATTCCCAACTTTGCACCCACCTCTTGATTTGGGAGATGGAAGCTGGGGTGGCAGGGGGTAGGGGGAGTGGGGAAATACAAAGATGATTATAACCCACCCCCATTCTTAAAGTGTCTTGCTGGGCAGGCAGGAGCTGGTGGATTTTCTTCTCTCCTGGGGCCACAGAGATTTGGCTCTTGCTTGGAGTCACCCACAATCAAGAAAAGCACGGGGTGATGGCATGGCTCTATACAATGTGGAGCAGCCTACTCTGACTGCTGAAGCCAGATGACCCACCGGAGACCTTAGGCAAGTTCCTTAGCCTCTCTGCGCCTCAGTTTCCTCCCCCATAAAACAGACACAATCATTGCAACAGCCTGATAGAGTTGTGGTGAGAATTAAATGAAATCACCGGTATGAAGAGCCTGTGCACGTGTCAGTCTTATTATGAATAAATGCTTTTTATTATACTTTCACCCGAAGTGCAGGAAGGCTGGACTGTGGCTGGAAGAGAGTCTGACCGGCTGTCATCTCTGCAGGATGGCCTGGGTAGCGCGGTCTCTAGGGACAATACAAACGTTCAGCAGTGCTCCAACGCGGATGTAACCAAAGTGTTTGGTTCTGTGCGGTGGCCATTGTCCGTTCTATGAGTGGACCACACAAAACACCTCAAGGACCATTCACAGTAGCCCCTCGGGACCAAGCTTGCAGGTCTCAGCCCTTTTGGGTCTTGCTCTGCACAGAATCAGAATCTCTGTGGGTGAAGTCCAGGCACCTACATTTTTCAGGGAGAGATATGGAGGCCAAGGAAAGTCAGATTCCAGTCCAAGCTCCAGTGGCTGTTGGGTGGTAGCTGGTTGCTGATACCCCGTGGGAATAGAACCCAGGTTCCTGACCCCCTACCAGCACCACGTCACACTTTCCCTCAAAAAATTCCTCCCTGGCTTGTCTAGAAGTCCACCAGTTGCTTGCAAAGCAAATCCAAAACTATTGGCTCCCCTTGGCTGTAGGGAGGCCAGGCAGCAGACTGTCTCCCCTATTGGAGCTTCCTTTCCTACTGCCAGTCCCCCAGCTTCCATTCCACTCACCAGTTTCCTCCATTTGGGAGCTGGTGCTGAGCTACTGGATGTGCCCTGGTTTGCGTGCTCCTCCATGAGCTCCCTCACGCAGTGGGTGTGGTATGCTACATCCTGCCAGACCTGAGCTCCTTGAGGTCAGAGACAGTGTCATAAGTACCTCGACCCATGCAGTCTGGGTCAGAGCACTGGACAGATAGTGTGCCTCTGCGTCCTGCTCACCAGACACACCTCTCACCTCTCAGGCCCTGAGCAGAGGCCCATTGGATCAGAGGAAGAAGTCCAGGTTACCCATCCAGGCACTTCCTGAGGACCAGATACATGTATGATCTCATCTCTTCTCCCACAGATGCAAGGAGGCTGGTACTATCACCATCCTCATTTTACAGATGAGAACAGCAAGGCACAGAGCACCTGAATGACCTGTCCAGTAAATCCCCAATTTGAGACCTTGTTTCTTAATCCTTTAGTACACCACCTCCACCTGGGTCATCCTACCCTAGAGCCTCCATCCTCTGGGAAAGTAGCAATTTGGGGTAAAAAAAAAAATAAAGGAACGAGCTAAGAGCAGATGGTTTGTTTACTGTTTATTACCTACTTGAAATTATGACAATTAGCCTCCAAGTTACCAATTTACAGAAGAATAACAGCAAAAAAGGGTACTGCTGGTACCTCCACCTGGTATAGTGGAGGAAAATGCTGCTGAACTAGGAGACTGTGGTGTTGAGGTTTTTCAATTATTAGCATTGTTACTACAAAAACAATACATGCAGTCAGTAACAAGTGCAAAGGGGTATACAGTGAAGTGTGATTCTCCCTCCCACTCGAGACCCCATCCCAGTCTCCAGAAGGTGCAGTTTCCTGTGTATTCTTCTAGAAATATCTCACGTACAGGCAGGCACACACAAACACACCCACACACACTTTCTGTTGTGGAAACTGGAATGTGCTCCCCACACTGCCATGCACCTTGATTCCTGGCTTTGCAACG